GTGAAACCCCATCTCTACTAAAAATACAAAAAGTAGCCGGGCGTGGTGGTGCATGCCTGAAATCCCAGCTACTCGGGAGCCTGGGGCAGGAGAATTGCTTGAACCCAGGAGGCGGAGGTTGCAGTGAGCCGAGACCACGCCTCTGCACTCCAGCATGGCAACAGAGCGAGACTCCGTCTCAAAAAAAAAAAAATAACTTCATTGGGGCCCTGTCCAGAGCCTGTGCCTGTAGCACAGCCCACATGCCCTTCAGGGTCTGCCCTTAATGTGTTTGGGGACCCCTCTTTCTAGCTAGCTCGTCAGCCTTTCTGAATTTGCCAGTCCTGCACACTACACCATTCCCTGTCATTCCTCTTTATGATGTGTCCTCTGCTGGAATTTCCCCTTCCTGCTGATCTCACTAGGCCTATTCAGGTAGTAGTTGCTCAAGCTGCTTCCCATGGTGTTTTTTGTTTTTTTTTTTTTTTTTTTTTTTTTTTGAGACGGAGTCTCGCTCTGTCACCCAGGCTGGAGTGCAGTGGCCGGATCTCAGCTCACTGCAAGCTCCGCCTCCCGGGTTTACACCATTCTCCTGCCTCAGCCTCCCGAGTAGCTGGGACTACAGGCGCCCGCCACCACGCCCGGCTAGTTTTTTTGTATTTTTTAGTAGAGATGAGGTTTCACCGGGTTAGCCAGGATGGTCTCGATCTCCTGACCTCGTGATCCGCCCGTCTCGGCCTCCCAAAGTGCTGGGATTACAGGCTTGAGCCACCGCGCCCGGCCTTCCCATGGTATTTTATGCAATAAAGTATCAGTACTCAGAGTCACCGCTTGATAGAATTTCTTTTTTCCTTTTTAAAAGCTTCAAACAAATAATATCTTACCTTTAGATCCCTATAGGTTAAAATATATTTGTTGACTAAAAATTGTGTATGATTACTGAAAGTGTTCAATGCAGGGAACACACCGGTTCATCATGGAGGCATTTCATCGGAGAGTCTAGTTAGAGAAGATATGACATGGACTGCGTCGTCACAGAAGTGGGGTTTATGTGAGAGAGGAGTTGGAAATCTCACCTGAGTGGAGAGCAGGTGAAAGGTGATGTCAGCAAGAATTTAGGATGTATGGAAAGGACGGTAAAGACACCAACTGGATGGATCAGGGAGAGATGGAATGCAGAGTGCAGGAGATGTGTAAGCGCTTAACTTGCGCAAACCTAGGTTTCATTTTTGTGTTCTAGTGTGTTACACTGGCGATGACTTGACTTCCCTGAGTGGCTGTGAGATGGGTGTGGTCCGTGTTCATGTGCACCTCGTAGGGCTGTGAGGACTGAGAGAGGTGACCCAGTGACTAGTGTCACACAAACGTGACACATCGTAGGCACCAAGTGACTCCAGACAGTGGTTCTGGTTGGTTTTGTGGTCAGTTAGAAACCTTCCATCAAGTGAAACTTTCTTTGCAGAGCAAACAATTGAAAAGTTAATATTCTATATGTACTAAGGTTTGTATTCTCCATTAATATGGGGGAGTGTATGGTAACCTGGTGTTTAGTGCTAGCTATGTTTTTGGCTCATTGCTCAGTTTATGAGAGAGAACGCATAATATTTGTTGTTCGACCATTTTACTTGCAGGATTGAAGAGAGTTGACATATCTAGAAAATGCTTTGAGTTCTTGGACGTCACTATTTGAAAACGTACTGATTACTCTTAGTTGAGAATGGGAAAATCTAAAGGGGAAAAGTCACTCGTTCACGCTGTACTATTAGAATTGGTCATCTTCTTGCCTGACTTGTAAGTTAAGGATGCTTGATCTTTGCTGTGATGTAACTTGTTGAGGATGAATTGTAACCAGTTACAATGAATACAAATTCTCCTTTCTGTTTGACCTGGAAAACTTTCCAAAAGGAGATGTCTTTACAATAATGATATATTTGGTGAAATCTGTGGGTTTTTTTGGTTTTTTTTTTTTTAGAGCTTATGATGACAGTATTGAAAGAGGAAACTAATCTGTATTGTCAGCATAGCCACAGCTAGCACTAGTCATTTCTTGAGAGGTGGAGCTGTTTCTCAGAAAACACGCTGTTTAAGGGTAGGAGGTGAAGGGACTCCTTGTCAGAAATTGGCTTAATTTTTATCCAAGTTAGACACCACAGTTCTGTTTGGGTATTGCATTTCTTCGTTCACTCAGTGACAAGAATTAAGGCAGATGATGCCTGAAAAAAAAAAAGTGTATGTTCTTGATAGTTCTGCTACTGTGCTAGTAGAGGTTGAGAAATAAGATTTCCTGTGAAGTGTGGTTTGGTTGTTTTTGTGGTATCTCATGCAAAAGAGTTTGAACTATGTTCATTTTTCTCCATTTATTGGATCCTTTAAAAGATAGGAAAGGGTGAGATAACCAGACTTACAATGATGGTAGAGTATTGTGGGCTTTGGGACTCCTGTAGCCCAAAGGTTATGGGATGCTGCTGTCACGATAATCTCATTTCAGAGGTTCCTGTGGAAGAGGAGAAAGGATGTACCTTTCTGTGTGTTCTCATTAGAAGTCAAAAGTTTTTAATGATTTTTAATGGTTTTTAATGGTTCGTTTACAGATTTGGAGCTAGCCGACTGATAGTATCTGGGCAGGGTAAAGAGGCCTGTGACTCAGGTTGTCAGGGAACAACCTGAGTGTGCGCTCACAAACTCGGAACTATGTGTTATGATCCTTAACTGGAGAAGAGGCAGTGCCCTTTGTTATCTTCACTAAAGAGTATGAATTATAAAGTCACAGTTTCTCATAAAAAGGCTTTCATAGTTTCACTTCCTGAAATGTGTATATTCACAATCTTTTGCAATAGTTAGTTTAAGGTGATGTGTTTTAGTTAATTTTTGTCTCTACAGCCTCTTCTAAATCAAAAAGTTATATATGCTTTTAATTTTATATTAATCCTTCTAAATTTTTGTTTTTTGTAATTTTAATATATTTTTAATTTATTTTAAAGTTTTATTTCTCTTTTGCTTTAAGATTTTTCTTTTTAAATTGTTTTTCGTTTTTCCTTCATATGTATTTTTCTTAATAGAACAGAAGAATTAAAATAATATCTAGTGATGTAGGTATTAGAGTTTTGTTTTTAATCAGCCTTGAGAAGAAAATGTAGGCTCAAATAACATTTGTAGTTGTAAATAGCTATAGAGTTTTCCCAAGGATTACCTTTCTTAGTATTATCTGATAACAAAATTTAAAAAAAAATCCTGAGAAAATTCACTGTTACTTTGCTTTTGTTGACTCTATAAATTAATGTGAAATAGGAAGCGAGGCTGCTGCCAGGGGCTAAGCGCTGCAGACCCAGTGCCCTGCAGGTAGTGCCCTCCTCCATACTGCCCCCCAGGACTGGATCTGGGCCTTTCTCGTTTGTGGTTACTGTGCTTATAGAGCATTGAGGTAACCCCTGGTGCATATTTTACAGATTGAAGGAAAGTAACAGTGAATTTTAGTTCAGAGTCCTGAGGGTGAGGTATCAAATACTCTGGCTGAAGGTCTTTCTCTAGGTTTACTTCCTCCATAGCTGGGCAAGGGTGTGGGGTGGTGCCATGTGGGGTAACCAGATTCCCAGCACCCTGTGAGGTAGACCTTCCCGGGTTTTATGGATTCCTACCGCATGTTAGCCAAATGGCTGTTTTCAGTTGTGCAATAGATATGAGTAGCCTTTGGTTTGTGTTCTTTCTGTGATTACAACATGAGGAAATACATTCCTCTGGTGTGATATTTTAGTGGAACTTTAATTTTAAAATCATGTAGCGTTCTAAAACCAGGCATTATTTTCTTGATATGTTGTCTAGGAGATACGTGGTCTTTATTTTAATTAGGTTGCTGACCTTTTTACTGTTTTACATAATATAACAGTTAAAGGGTGATTAAACTGTTAAAAAAAAAAGTGATTTTTAAAAAAAGTGCTTGTTGACATCATCTTTCCGAGAACACTAGTATATGTGATTTACTATAACAAGATCTTAGTTTTTCCTGTTGGCAAATGACATGTAATATTTACAGAGGTCTTGGGTTTAGTCCAACAGAAACATCTCAGATAAATTGATGTGTGAAACTAAAGCCATTTTACATTTCCTTTCATATGGGGATAATATAAACAGTTTTTTCGTTTAAAAGTAAAGAGAGACTGGCTATTTAGTATGGATTTCTTTGAGGGGACAACTTGTAATAGTATGCATTCTCTAGAGTTAAACATCAAACACCATGTTTTTAGTTTTATAATTCAGTGATATGCATCCGGCAGTTGTGTGTTGAGGATTCTGAGTTAATTCATGGGCTTTTTCTCCTGGTGTCATGCTTGTCTTCCTTTTCCATCTAAATGTATAAGGTCACATTTTATATTTCACATATTTAAATTAGCATAAATTCTCAATCTATGAGATTTTTACTTTTAAAAACTAGAAATATCTCTAAACTGTTAACAGAATCTAAGTAGTGAAGTATCTTCAGTGGCCTTTTAAAGAATACAATTGGAATATTCCAACTGTCTGTAAATATTTTCAGCATTTAACCTAAACACAGTTCAGTGCTAAAATTTATTTATAGTGGAATTCTTATCTGTTGAGCAACGAAGAGGGTGAAATATAGTAACCTCGGAAATCTAGTCTCATCTGTTTGAGACCAGTTACCGTTTTGTAGGTAGACCAATCAATTCTTAGGTACCAAGAATCTGAATGATCCTTTTACTTTTAGGAAGGTAAGTACTTTATTCATTTAACTGTGTTTACTTCTGTTCGATTTTTCTAGTCACAGTGGCTAATGTGCTACAAACAGAAGCACTTCCCTTCCAGCACTATAGTAACAAACAAGATTACATTTTATGGTTCTTAAACAAAAGTAGAGAATAGTTTAGGATTTGTCTCAACTCTCTTATGATGCGAATCCATTTTTCTTATTTCTTCTATCCTTTTGTAAATACCTAGAATATTAATATGAAGGTAAGAAAACAGTAAGTTTGAAATGACAGTTGTGGTTTATCATTCTCTGTTTTCAGATGATCACAGCCGTGTTAAACTGCAGAATGCTGATAATGATTATATTAATGCCAGTTTAGTTGACATAGAAGAGGCACAAAGGAGTTACATCTTAACACAGGCAAGTAGTACGATACCAAGGAAATGTCTGAAAATGATGTGTTTGTGGTTGTTCTGCTTTAAATCATAGGGAAAAGTATATCTTGACTTCTTTTGGAAATGAAATGGTATTTCAGTTTTTTCTGACGATGTAATGAATTTTGGACGTTATGAAGTTTTGAAGCTTTGAGTATTTAAGATAAAAGGCAAGTTATTTTTAATATTACACATTCTGTGAAGGAAAATTCTTATGAAATGGCTTAGGCCAGTTCTTTGGGCAGGTTGTTCCTTACATTATATCTGACACAGAGCCCTGCAAATGCTTCTTAGCATCTTGTGTTTCTCTTCCCGTACCCTGTGGCAAAACTAGAGGCCCCAGATGCCTCTTCTGTAGCTCCCCCTGCCTCGCATATATCTTCAGAGAGTACGCCAAGCCCTGGATGGTGTTTGGTCGTCTTTGAGGACCTGTGCAGGTGCTGAGACCAGGTGCTCCAGAGGCCCATCTGCAAGGCCTTGTGCTCCCTTTGGCCTTCTGTCCAGTTGCCTCTGAGCACATCAGCCACACCTGTGTGCAAGCATGATTTTCCTTCCATTCTGAGATAATGGGAGAGATTTTTGTGTATCCACAGCTACTCTTTATTCATCAAATAATAAAGACTTGATTAATGGTGCTGTCACTTCCCCCTAAAGATTTTTAAATATTCAAGAGATACACCATAATATTTGATATTTTTGAAAACGTAACTCGAATCAGAATGATTTACTTGAAAGAGAAAAATGTTTGATAAGTAAAAAGATAGGCAGATTAATGTAACTATGAGCTATTAGACTACATCAGTTCAAAGGAAACTAAAATGCATTATTTTACTTGAGGTAATACAGCTCCTGCAAGTCAAAAATAGAAAAACAGCCCATGGAAAAAACTGGCATAGGACACAAACTCCTAGTTCAAAGAACGAAACAAAGGTGGACACCTTGCACACGAAGAGATGCTCCCTTCATTTCAGCAACCAGGGAATGGGCCTTTCCCCTGTCAGAACAGGAGAGATTTCAAAGTGTGTAGTACTCAGTCTTCAAATACTCTGACCGATCAAGAAAGTCTACTTAGAGAAATACAGTCAGACACAAAGACATACATGGTAGGCCAGGCGTGGTGGCTCACGCCTGTATTCCCAGCACTTTAGGAGGCTGAGGCACATGGATCACCTGAGATCAGGAGTTTGAGACCAGCCTAGCCAACATGGTGAAACCCCATCTTTACTAAAAATACAAAAATTAGCTGGGTGTGGTGGCGGCCACCTATAATCCCAGCTACACAGGAGTCTGAGGCAGGAGAATCGCTTGAACCTGGGGGTTGGAGGTGGCAGTGAGGCAGGATAGCACCACTGCACTCCAGCCTGGGCAAAAGAGCAAAACTCTGTCCAAAAAAAAAAAGACATACGTGATCATGTTCATTGCAGTCTTATTTTAACGCATCAGACTCAAGCAATCTGTAAGGGACTGGCTAAAGAAGTTAATCATACATACACCATTAGTGGTTATTTTTGGAGCTGGGGAATAGAGACTTTAATTTTCCATTTTCTTCCTTTCTGTAATATTAGAAGTTTTTTAAAATGTGCATTCATATTTTAAACTACTGTTTGGAGTTAAAAATTTTATTTTCTGTTTGAAATAACTACAGTTGACCCTTGAACCACACAGGGTTGAACTGTACTAGTCCACTTACAGGCAAATTTTTTTCAACCAAAAACGGGTTGGAAATACGGTATTCATGAGATGTGAAATCCATGCATGCAGAGGGCTGACTGTGTGTATCTGCAGGTTCTGCAGGGCCACCAGTGGGGTTTGGACATGTGTGGATTTTGGTATACTGCAGTGGGTGGGGGCGGATTGGGTCCTAGAACCAGTCCCCTGTGTATATCCAGGAACAACTAATAACATTACAAAATAGAGAAGAATTACCACCCTAGATCCCTTATCGCAACACTCTCTCCCTCTGTACCATTTTTCTCCTTTTCTTTTGGTTTTTGTTTTTTGTTTTCTTCTTAGTTCTTAAAAACCCAGGTCTTTCTCAAGATTCTAAATTAGCCTTTTTTTTTTTTTTCCCCTTCCCTCCAGTCTGCACTACAGCCCTTTAAGACCATGGTTTTAACCTTTGTAACCTAAGATAGGGTAGACTACTGTCATGGTACCTGTGCTTGAATCTTGGTGCCAGCATTTCATTGGGTATTCACTGACCCAGCAAAGACTTACTGAGACCTACTCTGTGGCAGGCATTGTTTCAATAAAACAGACTTGTTAAAACCCTACTATTATGAATTTTACATTCTAGTGGGAAATAAAATGAATAACAGTAATTTTGTAATAGTGTTTTTACATGCTTTGTATAATTTAAACCTTAAGACAACCCTCTGTGGTAAATAGTATTACCTTTACTTTATACACAAGGAATCTAAGGAGATCCAGAGATATTAAATAACTTTTTTTTTTGAGATAGAGTCTTACTGTGTTGCCCAGCCTGGAGTGCAGTGATGTGATCTCAGCTCACTACAACCTCTGCCTCCCAGATTCAAGTGATTCTCGTGCTTCAGCCTCCCGAGTAGCTGGGATTACAGGTGCTCATCACCATTCCCAGCTACTTTCTGTATTTTTAGTAGAGACAAGCTTTCACCGTGTTGCTCAGGCTGGTCTCAAACTCCTGGCCTCAGATGATCCACCTGCCCTGGCCTCCCAGAGTGCTGGGATTACAGGTGTGAGCCACCGCGCCCAGCCTCCTAGTGATTGTTTTTGAACTTCTTGTCGCTGTGTGTGTCCTGAAGGAGCCCTGCACATTTAATGCGAGAACTCAGAAGCCTGTGTCTGGCTTTTTGTTCTCTCCTGAGTTCCTCTCTCTCTTTGTCAGGTCTCTATTGGATATTTTTACTGGATTTCAAAATCTGCATGTTTTCTATCTTTTTTACCAAGGCAGCTGCCTTCCTATTTTTCTCATTGGGATTGAAACTGTCCTCATTGTCTGCCAAGTTCTTTCTGATCTTCTGTTGCCCCTCCCTTTTTTCAGAGCTCTCTTCAGTTACACCTGTCCTATTGCAGCAGCTTTTTAAGGTCTCCCCTTGCCACCATCCTTGTCACTCTACTGGTGTAATTGCTGACTGCATCCCTCCACTTCCGCCTCACTGATCTATTTGTCTTTCCCAAATATGCCCTAAACTTTCATGCACTTTGCCTTATGCTTGGAGGGCCTGGAATGGACCCTAACTGCCTCCCATTCTTCTGCATTCCCTCTCTGTATTAGGACCTTTTTTGAGGCTCTTCAGTAGTTTCCTTCTCAGCCTTTCCTGCTCCCTAAAACCTGGGTTTAATTTACTCATATTCTTGTGGTACTTAACTGTGTCCATTAGTCATGCAAGTATTTCTCCTTGCCACCTGTACAAGCTCTTCAAGAGCCAAGACTGCATCTCAGTCTAGCTCTTGGCCTTGTACCTAGCAGGTTGTTTAGAATGGAGGATACAGAAAACTAGAGATGCAAAATACTTACTACCCCAGCTCTTCTGATTGTCCTTTGTAGATTATTGTTTCAGTCATCTTTTTCTTCTGAGTTTTATGAATTAGTATTTTTTAAAAAAATCACCTCCTTGGTGTATTATGTCTGTTTTGCAGGTGAAGAAAATTGGTAGCATTGCTAGTAAATAGAAGAGCTGAGATGTGAATCTCTGTCCCTCTGATTTAAAAACCTGTGGCTGGGCGTAGTGGCTCACGCCTGTAATCTCAGCACTTTGGGAGGCTGAGGCAGGCGATCATCACCTGAGGTCAGGAGTTTGAGACCAGCCTGGCCAACGTGGTAAAACCCCGTCTCTACTAAAACTACAAAAATTAGCCGGGCATGGTAGTGCACACCTGTCATCCCAGCTACTCAGGAGGCTGAGGCAGGGAGAATTGCTTGCATCCAGGAGGCAGAAGTTGCAGTGAGCTGAGATGGTGCCATTGCACTCCATCCTGGCAACAGAGCAAGACTCCATCTCGAAAAAAGAAAAACCAGTGTTCTTTATACTATAGCAGCTATGTTCCTGTTTATTATTTAGTCTTTAGGATCACCAGTGGAATGGCATGGGATGTGATTGTGTGTATACACCAAGGAGTGACCTCACTGGCAAATTGCTACATCCATTTTTTTTTTTTTTTTTTAAATAAAGAAAAAGGCATTCATTTTACTGGGGATTTCCTCATTGCTGTTTTTACCTCTAGACGGTGTTTTGTTTTGGAAGTAGATCAAGTAATAGAAAAACAAGTTGAGTGAGGAAAACTCTATTCTCAAATATTAGGTTGTAGTTTGTCGGGATCCTCAGTAGACTTCTAGCATTTTTACAACTTAACCTCGGTTTACTCATTTAAGTAATATTTATTGAGTATCTGCTACATACCAAGGAGTACACGGGGCCTAAAGATGCTTTTAGTCGGCCAGCCACCATGGCTCACGCCTGTAATCCCAGCACTTTGGGAGGCCGAGGCAGGTGGATCACTTGAGGTCAGGAGTTTGAGACCAAACTGGCCAACATAACGAAACCCTGTCTCTACTAAAAATACAAAATTTAACCAGGTGTGGTGTTGGGCGCCTATAATCCCAGCTCCATGGGAGGCTTAGGCAGGAGAATCTCTTGAACCTGGGAGGCGGAGGTTACGGTGAGCTGAGATCGCGACACTTCTCTCTAGCCCGGGTGACAAGAGACGCCATCTCAAAAAATAAAAAATGCTTTTAGTCTGGAACCACTTTGACGCCCTTGTTGCACGTGGGTCTGAAGCTCTGGGCAGCCCTAGCCCCCACTCCTGACTGCCCCTGACTCTTCGCACTCGGCTACGTTCCATGTGAGCTGAACGCAGGTTCAGAGTTATTTTCGGTGTAGCAAAACTACATCTCCTTTTAACCTTCTCATTTAAAACCAGTTAAAATGTGTACATAGGCTTTTCATCTCTTATTAGTCCTTTCTTTTACCCTATGCTATCATTAAAGTGTGAAAGCAATTGGAAATACATGAAATATTTTGCTTTTGTCCCCATGGCATTGTTGTAACATGGACTGTTGTCCCTTTTTAACTCTGCCCAATACTCTTCCATTGAGGCCATACATACTGTGCATTTGTAGATTAACAGTTTCATTGTGGTTCAGGTGCTTTAATGATTCCTACTTTTCCTAGAAATCTTTTTGTAGTTGACTTGAGTTGATTGGCTGGCCAGTGATAGTGGACTTTCTTCTCATGGATCTTCTATGATGTGTGGGAGGCAGGTCCTGTCTTTTGACTGTGGAAGATGAAGAGGACAGAAATTTCCTTTGTCTGCCTTCTTTGCAGCTAGAACATGATCTGTCAGATACTCCTACTTGTGATTTTGTCTCTGGTTTGCCTGTAGATTGTTTATGAATACTACAGCCACCTTCATATGGCAGTGCCAGCAAAAGCAAGGGGATAGTAGTGACAGTATCAAGAGCAGCATCCCAGGTTGACTTTCTTTGTGGCAGGACCTTGCTTGTGCCTCAACCCTTGGTTCCTCCCCAAGCTTGACTCTCTAGTCCTCAACTCTGAAAGCCACCTGATATCTTAATTCCTTTTTTGCCTAAGAAAATAAAAGTCAGTTTTGATCATTTATAACCGAAAATCCTAAGTAGCACAGAGCTGGTTTTGAAATCAGGTGGATTGGAAGTCTTGGTTTACTTCTTATAAGCCCATCCACTGTCTGTCTTGTAACATCCCAGGGGCAGACTTGACGAGGCCTTTCTGGAGCCTTGCTCTTTCTGTCTGCTTCCCTCATCTGCTCTTTCTCCTCTTTCCTCACAGGGTCCACTTCCTAACACATGCTGCCATTTCTGGCTTATGGTTTGGCAGCAGAAGACCAAAGCAGTTGTCATGCTGAACCGCATTGTGGAGAAAGAATCGGTGAGTAATATTTAATATTTACAGCTTAGTATACTGCATGTGATCATTAGCATATAAAGATTTTCGTTTTGGGGCCAGTATTCATTCCTTAGTTTTGGCCTTTAATTGCTAAAGGCTAGTGGTCAAAGTGTTTCTGTCCAGAAAAACTCATTTATCCTTTTCCTTTCTTATTTTAAGTATTTATATAACAATTGCAGACCTTTCATCTCCAAGATAGAAATATAATGGAATAAGTACTCACCAGCAGTGATATATAGATCTTTGGGATCCCTAGGAATCCTTATTGACCTACTGTCAGTAAGTCCTCTTCCAGCTTTAAGATCTTGTACTGTTCTACTTCAGATTTCTTACTTTATTCTACATTTCATAATTGCTGGTTTTTACTGATGATGAAAATTTCCTAATCCACTTCTAATCAGATGTGGCAATGACATGCCAGAATTTCCGGCAGTGTCAGCATAATCATTTACAGTGATTTTTCCTGATCTTCAGTATCATTTAAAAATTAAGGATTAGGCCAGGCACAGTGACTCAAATCTGTAATCCCAGCACTTTGGGAGGCTGAGGCAGGCAGATCACTTGAGGGCAAGAGTTTGAGACCAGCCTGGCCAACATGGTGAAACCTCATCTCTACCAAAAATACAAAAATTAGCCGGGTGTAGTCCCAGCTACTTGGGAGGCTGAGGCAGGACAACCACTTGAACCTAGGAGGTGGAGGTTGCGGTGAGCCGAGATTGTGCCTCTGCACCCCAGCCTGGATGGTCGAGTGAGACTCTGTCTCCAAACCACTGCACTTCAGCCTGGGCGGTAGAGTGAGACTCCATCTCAAAAAAAAAAAAAAAAAATTAAGGATTATGACATTGTCAGTTTGAGCAGCATTGCAGACTAAATGATTTGTAAATTTCATTTCTCTCATTTTGGAGTATAATTACTGTATTAATAAGATAACACTGCCACCAGAATTTAGAAATCATGTTTATGGTGCTTGGACCTGGATGGTTAACAAGTGTCAGGTTTAATTATTTTGGGGAAGATTACTTCAGAGGTGGTGGGTAATGTGCTATTCATCAAGAGACCCCTAATGTCTGATTATTGTTCTTTTTATTTTATTAATAGCCATTATTGGTCAGTGCTCAGCTTCTTAATTCATTATGGGTTACAGATGGTGATAATCCAGTTCTGTCATTACTTCTCTTAAAAGCAGTTTTCCAAAAAAAGTGGATTCCCTATTGAGGTCATCTGTCCTCAACAGATGAACAATTAGGAGTTTTTCTGGTGGAGAGTGGCAGGAGAGGATGAATTATTATGGGTTTAGACATATTGGGTTCATTTTACTCCTTTGCAGTTATTTTCCTTATTTTTGATCAAATTATCCTGTCATTGGCTAGCAGCAATCTCTTTAGGTTGGGTCCTGAGTCCTTTTTGTTTTTGAGATGGAGTTTCGCTCTGTTGCCCAGGCAGGAGTGCAGTGGCATGATTTCGGCTCACTTCAACCTCCACTTCCTCGGTTCCAGCGATTCTCCCGCCTGAGCCTCCCGAGTAACTGGAATTACAAGCACCCACCACCATGCGGCTAATTTTTGTAGACTGTTTTACCATATTGGCCAATGACCTCAAGCTCCTGACCTCAAGTAATCTGCCCATCTCAGCCTCCCAAAGTGGTGGGATTACAAGCATGAGTCACCTCACCCAGCCCTGAGTCCTTTTTAACAAACCTTTAATAGTTTCCTTTGCTGGGTGCAGTGGCTCACACCTGTAATCCCAGCACTTTGGGGAGTTAGGTGGATTGCTTGAGCCCAGGAATTTGAGACCAGCCTGGGCAAACGGTGAAACACTGTCTCTGCAAAAAATACAAAAATTAACTGGGCGTGGTGGCGCATGCCTGTAGTCCCAGCTACCTGGGGGACTGAAGCAGGAGGATCGCTTGAGGCCAGGAAGACGGCTGTAGTTAGCTGTGATCCTGCCACTGCACTCCAGCCTGGGTGACAGAGAGACCCTGTCTCAAAAAAAAAAATTTGTTTTTCTTGCTACTGGTAATGACTGTATATTGTGGGCTCATCTCGAACGCTTGCTGCCCAGACCTGGAGCCAGCCATTTCTCTGCGGAGCTTTGGTTTCTTTTAATGGGCAGTAGTATTTCAAGATCACAGCAAAAATAAGGATATGTGTTGCTACTGGACTGGTCATTGTTTTTAGGGCTTTTCAGTGGACAAAAGCTAAGGAACAATATGTATATGTTAAGATAACATACTTTAAGAGTTCATAATATTTCCAATTTAAATTTGGAGCTATAAGGGCTGCTTAGCCCCTTCCATCTTATGTCTGCTATTTCCTTTTTCATACCAGTAATCCTGGTTCTCAAAGAGATGAGAGATATAAGCTATCTTGTAATGATCATTTCCTTCTTCCCATATCACATACAAAACATAGCCATAATCATGATATCATCTACTACCAAAATAATTCCTGAAAATGGTTTACAATTTTTAATATTTTTTTTCCTCTTCCTGATGTTTCTGAGTTGTACTTTACAAATGTAAGTCTCTCCCTTATATCCCTTGTAGACTCTTAGTTCTACAAGCAAGCATTAGTTAATATTCATCAACAGTCTTTCTTGATGTCTCCCAAGTCATTCTGACTACAGCTCATTCTCTAGTGGATCCTAAGGAGGAACTTGTGAGCATTATAGTCTCCAATTTTTTTACATGTTTATAGTCTCCAATATTTTTACATGTCACTGATGGTTCATCTGCTGTCTTAATATCTGAAAGTCAGTTTGGCGGGATATAAAATCCTTGACTCCCGTGCTATTCTTTGAACAGCTTAAACATTTTTCCGTTTCCTTCTGGTCTTCCACCAAAGTCTACTGGACATCTTATTTCCTTTATAAGTCTCTTGTTCTTTTTATCTACACTACCCAATAAATTCCTTTTTTCTTTTTCTTCAGATATTATTCGTTTTACCAAAAATATGTCTTAGTGATTGACCATTCTTGGTCAGTTTTTACAGGTACACGATGTCTTCTTGAGTGTTAGACTTCGAGTACTTTTTTCTTATTTTTTTAATACTTTTTGTTAAAGAAATATTTGTTGAGTTACAGTCCTTAGTATTTGTTCTGCTCCCTTGCTTGCTTTAATGTTCCTCTTTGGGTCTTCCTATTATACATATGTTGGATTTTCTTTGCCTGTCTTTTTTGTTCGTCACATTCTCTTATCCTGTTTATCTATTTCTGTTTTACTTAAAAAAGATTTGTTTTTTCTGGCAAGGTTTGAGGGCTCACACCTATAATCCCAGCACTTTGGGAGGCTGAGGCAGGAGGGTCCCTTGAGCCCAGGAATTCAAAACCAGCCTCGACAACAAAGTGACACCCTACCTCTACAAAAAATACAAAAAGTGGCCAGGTGCGGTGACATGCACCTGGAGTGCCATCTGGGGTTGGGAGATCGCTTAAGCCCAGAAGGTTGAGGGTGAAGTGAGCCAGGTTCACCCCAGTGCACTCCATTCTGGGCTACAGAGCTCTTAAGACCCTGTCTCTTAAAAAAAAAGAAAGAATTATTTTCCTCTTAAGGCATTATTATCTATTGTGTTTAGTTCTCTCTTCCTTCTGGTTTAATCCTCATTTCTGAAATGATGTGTACTATTATTTGAACTTTTCTATCTTCTGTCTTGTTTCTGAGTTCTAATTTTTAGTCTTTTACTTCTTATATCATTTTTTGTTTGTCTTTTAGCACCTTTTAAAGAATTAATTCATATTGGTTTGGGAGACATTTTTATTGTTTGTAGCTGTTATTTGGAAAAGGAGAAATGGCCATTTTTTAAAAATATTTTTTTTCTGGTATTTTTGTCCTACCGAAATGACTATTTTGCCTTGCTTCAGTCTGCTGGCTTCATACTTTGGCATTTGGGAAGATATGCTTATTGTCATGGATTTGAATTTCATATCAGTAGTTCTGCGAAACTCTAGGTAAAAGGGGCTTATCTTCTCATTCTCTCCCCCAGTTTAATTTTAGTAAGCAAATATACAATGTTATTTCTAAATGTCATTTTTTTGTTTGTTTTGAGACTGGGTCTCACTTTTGTCATCCAAACTGGAGGGCAGTGGCACGGCCTCATGCAGCCTCGACTGCCCATGCTCAGGTCGTCTTCCCACTTCATACTCCTGAGCAGCTGGGACTACAGGGGTGCGCCACCGCACCCAGCTCGCCACCGCACCCAGCTCGCCACCGCACCCAGCTCGCCACCGCACCCAGCTCGCCACCGCACCCAGCTTGCCACCGCACCCAGCTCATTTTTTGTATTTTTTGTAGAGACAGGAATTCGCCATGTTGTCCAGGCTGAATTTCACGCTGTTGCCCAGGCCAAACTCCTGGGCTCAAGTGATCCACCCACCTCAGCTTCCCAAAGTGCTAGGATTACAGGCATGAGTCACATGTGCCTGGCCCTAGATGCAATATTGAGTAGTAGATTCATAGGCATTTGTGGAAAATACTTGTAAAATAAAGCCTCTTCAGCAACATATATTTTTTTTTTTTTTTTTGAGACGGAGTCTTGCTGTGTTGCCCAGGCTGGAGTGCAGTGGTGCGATCTCTGCTCACTGCAAGGTCCGCCTCCTAGGTTCATGCCATTCTCCTGCCTCAGCCTCCCTAGTAGCTGGGACTGCAGGTGCCCACCACCACACTTGGCTAATTTTTTGTATTTTTAGTAGAGACGGAGTTTCACCGTGTTAGCCAGGATGGTCTCAATCTCGTGAGCTCATGATCTGCCCATCTCAGCCTCCCAAAGTGCTGGGATTACAGGCATGAGCCACCGTGCCCAGCCAGCAACATTTATTTTGAAGATAAAATTATTGCAAGAGTTTGATAATTTTAGAAACAGAAAGTGAATGTCCTGACGTTAAAATATAGGTAATCATGCTTTAAAAATGATAATTTTTATTTTATGAATATGATATCTGTGGCTTTTTTAGTTTATAAGTTACAGGAACACTTTAAAAATGCCTTATAAGACCGGATGCGGTGGCTTATGCCTGTAATCCTAGCGCTTTGGGAGGCTGAGGTGGGTGGCTCACTTGAGGTCAGTAGTTCAAGACCAGCCTGGCCAACATGGCAAAACCCTGTCTCTACTAAAAATACAAAAATTAGCTGGGTGTAGTGGCAGGTGCCTCTAATCCCAGCTGCTCAGGAGGTGAGTCTCACGACTAGCTGGGATTACAGGCGCCCGCCACAGTGCCCAGCTAATTTTTGTATTTTTAGTGGAGATGGGGTTTCACCGTGTTAGCCAGGTTGGTCTCGAACTCCTGACCTCAGGTGATCCTCCCACCTCAGCCTGCCAAAGTGTTAGGATTACAGGCGCGAGCCACACCCGGCTGTAAAATTTCAATCTTACTAAAATACATTGAGCGCAGAATATAGTAGTGGCTTCTTAGTTTTGGGTACTTGAAAAAATATAACATGTACATGTGTGGTTTGTTTTCATTTTTTAACTTTATGGTTTCATGATGTCTATAAACTAAAAAAAACATATACATATTTCTGAATTTAGGTGAAGTGTGCACAGTACTGGCCAACAGATGACCAAGAGATGCTGTTTAAAGAAACAGGACTCAGTGTGAAGCTCTTGTCGGAAGACGTGAAGTCGTACTACACAGTACATCTACTGCAGTTAGAAGATATCAATGTAAGACCTTGCTTGCCCAAAAGTCTGGACTTTATATGGTGGTTTAAAGAATTATTCTCTATTATTAGATTTGAAGTTTGATTAAGCACATGCATTTGGATAATACCTATAGTATCTAGTCATAATCACTTTGTGTGCCTGCGCGTAGTAGCTTTCTGAGGACTCTAAAGAAACAGTAGAAACTACGAATTTCAAAGTTCAGGTTGTTATTTGGGGATTGAAAATTAATTAATAGAAATACATGGGGATTAATAGGGAGGGCTTTAGAGTCAGGCAAACCTGGATTCAGACCCAGCTCTGCTGCTTAGTAGAGGTATAATTTAGACTTGTTCCCCACCCTCCCTGAGCCCTTCCTCATCTGTAAAATGGAGATTGCCATGCCTCCCCTCCAGGGCTGTCCTGAAGGTCAGATGAAGGTGTGTATGCAGAGCGCCTGACCTCAGTAGGTGCCCAGGAAACAATAGCTCCCAGGACCTGTGACTGCCAAGAATAGCAAAATCGTTAAGAAAATAACTTACAAAGCTATTGTTAAGTGATTCATAACACAAAAATGTGTCCTGAGTTGTGAAAAATGGTGTTTTCTATATATATGTAAAACACACATACGTATATGCATACATACATATACATGTATAAATGTAGCATGTGGTCTCAAGAACATTTACTTGGGTGTTTGGTTGGTTGGTTGATGGTTTTTTGAGAGAGTCTTGCATTGCCGCCCAGGCTGGAGTACAGTGGCATGATCATAGCTCTCACTGCAGCCTCCAACTCCTGGCCTCAAGAAATCCTCCCACTTCAGCCTCCTGAGTATCTGGGTTTACAGGCATGAGCCACCATACCTAATTTTCTTATCTTTTTTTTTTTTTTTTTTGTAGAGATGGGGTCTTGCCTTGTTATCCAGGCTGGTTTCAAACTCCTGGGCTCAAGCGATCCTCCCACCTTGGCCTCCCAAAGTGTTGAGATTACAGTCATGAGCCACCACACCAGGTCTTACTTGCATTTTTCTTCCCCAGAAACATACGAAGTGTTCCTTGGGCCTTGGTTGAGATAAATACACATAGTGGGTTATGAACCTGCTGTTGCTGGGGTGATGATCGGGGCATTTCTCCCCTTTTGCCATTTACCTCTTTTGCCTTCTTTGTGTTATAATTAGAATAAACTAGAAAATAATGAAATGAGAGTAATTCTGAGATGCTAATAGAAACTGATAGCTTGAAAATAGGAAAATGTTTAGCCTCATATGACTTCAGGAGTGTATGTAGTCTTTAAGTGAAATACTGTTTTAGTTAACCATTAAGTAAATTAAGTGATCACTAACAACACAAAGCCTTAAAGGGAAGGGATATATATATATATATACATATACACATGTGCTTTTTAGATGTGTGGCAATCCCTTTTATGGTGGATCCCTTGAAACACTTGTGTTTTTTGCTGCATTGAGTAAGCACAGGTGCATGCTGTGTGCGTGAGGCCTAGGTTCTGGTTTTCCTTCTGTCTATCTTCCCATGACATCCATAACTAAGCTTATTATGCAGTCTCTTCAGTCACCTAAAAAGGCTCAAAATTAGGAATGATAATGCTTAGATTTATTTATAAATTCCCATTAGTATATTTATTTTGTCCCAACTCTTTCCATTTACATGTGTCTTAAACTGCATTGAGATACATCAATAACTCTTTGATACTGGACTGAGCTGTACATTATTCATTCCCAGAAACAGAACTATATTTCCACAAGGTTCTCAAAGTTCTCTGAATCATCTTCTCTTGGTATTTATCCCAGGTAATTACTCATTTGCTTATGGCATTAAAATTGATTTAGATGAAGGGCATAGATGTGTTTCCCTATTTCTGGAACAGTCCTTATTGAGAATTGATGGTAACTGAAGTAATAATAAAATGGAATGATTTTTGTGTTTTGTTTATCAGATTCCAAAATGCTTTCACATGTATATCATTTGACCAGTAGTCTTCAGTTAGTGTGGACAGTGTAAATATTCCTATTATCCCCATATTTTACATTATAAAAATGAATAGTTACGTTAAAATCCATTCGGTTATAGGACTTTTTCCACTGATTACTTGGCTAATAAGTGACAGACTGAACTCATTAGTTCTCCTGGTCCCCTATTTTTTAAGACAGAGTCTCGTTCTGTTGCCCAGGCTGGAGTGCAGTGGCATGATCTTGGCTCATTGCAGCCTCCACCTCCTGGGTTCAAGTGATTCTCCTGTCTCCGCCTCCCGAGTAGCTGGGACTACAGGTGTGCACCGCCATGCCTGGCTAATTTTTTGTATTTTTAGTAGAGATGGGGTTTCGCCATGTTGGCCAGACTGATCTCGAACTCCTGACTTCAGGTGATCTGCCCGCCTCAGCCTCTCAAAGTGCTGGGATTACAGGTGTGAGCCACTGTGCCCGGCCATCTCCTAACTTTTGACATGGGGATAAGTCCTTTGAAAAGATGCTAATTGTTGTAAAGAGAGATACTGATTCTGAAGCATCTTTCTGGAGTTGAGGCCGTCATGTGAGTTGGCCAGCCACCGTGTTTTAGTTGCTAGCAGCTGTGTGGTATAATGACATGATCACTGGATTTTTTATTGGCCTGGGTTTAGAACATACCATAATACAATAGCAAGAATTTGTTTGTGTTCTACTTTATAATTTTTAATTAGAACTAGGGATTCTTTATTCTTTAGAAGGATAAGGTGGCATTTCAGTATGAAAGGCAGAATTACATTTGCCTAAGTAGATACACTGTAGAATCAGATAGCCTGACTTTAAATCCTGACTCTACCACTCCTGCTGAGTGACTTGGGTCACATTACTTCACTATGGATGATGAACAGTAGCTGCTTTATCATCTATGAAATGAGGGTGATGATGTACCTACTACATAGGATTGCTCTAAAGATCAAGTGAGTTAATATCATGACAGAGTCTAAGACATAGACTCTTCACAATTGCGGGAGCCGCAATTACCTTTTTAGTTTATCAGTTTCCTTTCTGTAATAGTAATGAATTGGAAGGGACAACAGAAATGGGGAGTAGTTGAAAAGGATAAGTTTAGAGAGAAAGAAAGAACCAAGGGAGTGAGAAAAAGTGATGATGAAGTAGGGGGCTGATAGCCAACCTCAACCCGCAGATCTCTGTCTTTTTTGAGGTCTGCGGTGCAGAGATCCAGCGTGCATCTCAGGGAGTCTGACTGATGTCTATTAACAGGTCCAAAGGTAAAGCTGTTGTCTAAGCAAGCCCTGCACCTCCTTCAGTCTAATGGAGCAGCACAGTGACATACCAGGAGCCCTTTACAGTGACTTACTTAAAGCTAAAAGTTTGGACTCTTGTCCCTGAACGAAGAGATTGCATCTCTGCAGTGTGGCCTGTGGCTTAAGCTATGGAGATAATTTTGAGGGGTTTTAAAAATACAAGGTCATCTAGAGTACTTGTCTTTTAGTTTTTTCTTTTTAGTTGCCCTTCACTATTTTTGTAATGTTGTTGGCCAGCTTTATGTTTAGTGAGTTCCAGGAATGCTGTTATAATGCTGACTGTCTTCTATTTCCCTGTCCCTATAGATTAAGCAAGATGAGAGTCTAATTATTATGATGCTTAGCTGGGATTTGATTCAAAATCGTTTAAACAGTTTATTCTACCTAGAATGTCCTCTCTCTTCTCTGCCTTTGTATCCTACACGTCCTTAGTAACCCCTGTGGCCCACTTCTTACTTAGGTCTCTCCTGACATAGATCTGTGACACATTTATCCCTAACAGCTGTGATTCTTATACTTTTTCAGTAATTTAAATATTATCATTCTACTGCTTGTTCAGTACTTCTCTCTGTCTAAATCTTGACTCCATAATGAGGTTTTTAACTTCCAAGGGGCTGGGAGTTATCTGCTGCCTTGGCACTCCCCGGCCATTGCACGGAGTACATTTTAAGCACATTGCACCTGAGTGATTGTTGTAAAACACAGATGCAGTCTTTCCACCGGCCTCTAAGAATTCTTCTGTAGCTTCCGTTGGTTACTAAAAAAGTGTCTGTCCAGTGCACAAGACCGTGACCCAGCCCAGCCTGGTTCTTGCCTCCTTGTCTAACTCCCTCTCCTTCGGGTATCCAGGATTTATCCATGCTAACAGACAGGCTTGTCTAATAGGTTAGTTCTTTGGTGGAATGGGTGGCATACCTTTGCATATTGCTTTCTCTCTGCTTAGAACGTGAGCCTGTCCCTAGCCGCTTCTGCCGCTCCTCCTCATCTGGTGAGTTCGATCTGTCTTTCACAATGAATTGCAGTCAGTAAATATTTATCACTGACATACTGACCCTGGCAAAAATTGATGAGAGACCCAACTAAGGCAGTGGTAGTGAAGGTACAGATTGGACATCTGGTTAGGACATAGGGTTGACAAACTTTGTCACTCTTTAGGTGTAGAGGAAATACCCAATGAAGAGGTTGAAAATGTGTTGAGTTTTACAATTGACTGGAGCTTTCTAGGGGCCACAGTAAAGGCAATTGGTGAGTATAGTTGTTTTAAAAATACCCAGTATCTGTTAAGCATTGACCATATGCAGGGATATGGCAAGCACTTCACATTAATTGTTTCATGGCAAGCACTTCACATTAATTGTTTCATTTGTTCGTTACAACAGTTTTGTAAGGTAAGTAGTATTATTAACCCTATTCACAGATGACAGAACTGGAGCTTAGTGAAAGTCTTTTAGAAACAAAATCTTGGTACCCTCCATATATACCTAAAGTGTGAAAGTAATTGGGCCTGGGGTCATAGAGCTGTATAGATTTTTTATAATTGGAAAATGTATAATCTTATTATATATTTATGATGATTATTAACTTGCATTTGAAGGCTGTGAACAGGGCATACACTTAAATTGCTGTGGCCTAACAATACCTGTTGTTACACCTGCTCAACTCACAGGTTATTTTCCTGGCTTCATATATGCAAGTTTGACATCCCTGTAAAAAGACTTTAAATTTAGAATTCTCTTTTAAAAATGTAAATGGGATTTTGCCTTAGAACAGCAAGCCGCTGACATTTTGTGCAGAATGTAGTATACATAATGCAAAGTTTTAGACAGAAAATTTGGCAGGCATGTGTGGAACAGCTGCGGACAGGGACAGCCTATAATTGTGGGTGCAACCCGGGTGTGTGTAGGGAGTGGGGTGAAGCAGCGAGAAGGCTGGGGGGCAGCGGCTGGGGATCAGAGGAGAAGTAGTGTGACTTGGTGACCAAAGAGAAGAAAAGGGTGCTTCTGCAGTTTTGAAAATAAGGAGTTTGCCAAAAATTGTAAAGTCTAAATGCAGACCTTGTTTGGAATAAAGATGAGTTTTGTTTTAGCTCTGTATCCTTTGGCAACCCTTTTTTTTTCCCCCTCTCATTTTTTTTTTTTTTTCCCCTGCATGAAAAAGAGGGAAAGGGGTCCATCCAGTCATGCATATGAATGTTTCTATTACCAGAGTAGTAAATATATGAATCTTATGCCTTCATGTGGTCCTTTGTAACTGTGAATTACATGATTTTGGAAAGCTGTGTTTTTTGAATCTTGTTTCTGTAAGGATAAATTAATCAAAGTTAACCTCTCAAAAAGTCCTGGTTCTGTAGGGGGAGAAGAAACAACAACTGATTTTCAAAAATCTATTAGTGGGGAAGACTTTATTATACAAACAGTCATGAGCATTTCTGGGAACTGGCTTCCAGTATCCCAGACAGTGTGACCTGGATTTGAAAAAAATTGAGACCACCAGTCTTGAGCCAAAATCATACAAGCAAAGAGAAAGCAAGCCGTTGCCCAAGACTGTAGGGTGACCATATGTTTGAGCCAGGACATGATGAAGTAATTACACACAGGACCCCATAGGAGCTCTGGGCCAGAGACCACAGAGCACTGAAGGCTCCTGCTCAGAGCGGACCACAGACAGGCCCACACAGACTGAGTCTGGTCCTGCAGATGACCACAGCAAGTAAGAAACAAAGTGGGTTATTAATGTCACTAGAATCTTAACCTCATTTACAGGAAAACTTGACTTGGAGTTAACTCTGTCCCCCGCTGTCAAGAACCTGCCTCTAGCCCATTCCTAGTGTTGCCTTGTTAACTGCCCACCTGCTGTTCTGTAAAAGGACACTAGAGTTTACCCTTCTTATTTTAGAATGTTTTGCATTCTCTTTTTTAATGCAATAAATTTACCTTTTTTTTTTTTTTTTTTTTACCTACAGTAAGATTGACTCCTATTGGTGTACAGTTATGTGACTTTTGACAGTGCATGCAGTCATGTAGCCACTGCCCACAGCAGAAACGTAGATCGGTTGTGTCACCTCTCCCCTGCCCCAGATGTTCTTGTGTTGCTTGTGTACAGTCAGTCATGTTCTCTACCCCCAGCCTCTGGCAGCCAGTGATCTGGTTTCTGTTTCTGTGTGATTCTGCCTTTTCCAGAATGTCATATAAATGGAATAGTATAGCATATAGCCTTTAGTCTGGCTTTATTCACTTACCATAATTAATTTAAAAAGAAATGTCTTAAAACGTAGAAACCGTGATCATTTTAATTCGTAATGGAGAAATTTTTTATTGCTTTTAGTATATTGAGAACTTGTGGATCACACTGTATTTGAAATTATTAATGCTGGATGTTAAAAGGTCACTAAAAGTATGTACTTTTTAAAAAATTTTTTTCACTGTACTTTATTAGTATTATACCTTATATACTGAGTCTGGGACGTAGAAGTCAATTTCTACTGCAAAATAGGGGTTTTTTGTTTGTTTGTTTGTTTTTGAGATGGAGTTTTGCTCTTGTTGCCCAGCCTGGAGTGCAATGGCATGATCTTGGCTTACCGCAACCACTGCCTCCTAGGTTCAAGTGATTCTCCTGCCTCAACCTCCCAAGTACCTGGGATTACAGACATGCCCCACCACGCCCAGATAAGTTTGTATTTTTAGTAGAGATGGAGTTTCTCTGTGTTGGTCAGGCTGGTCTCAAACTCCTGACCTCAGGTGATCCACCCGCCTCGGCCTCCCAAAGTGCTGGGATTACAGATGTGAGCCGCCACACCCAGCCAAAAATTTATATTTTTAAAGTGAAAGCTAACTTCTAATTTTGGAAATTTTTATTGGGAGCAGGATATTATAATAATAGTCTTTAGTTATTACACCATTAAACATCAAGGTTTTTTACGTTGTTTCTATGCCTCCTCCCTCAAAAAAAACCTCCTACAATAAAACTGAAAAATTGCACAAAGATATATTAGTGGAAGACCACTGCTTAATTTACACCAGTGAAGAATATAAAGCAGAGAAGTGCTCCTTGGGGCAAAAGGCAATTGGCAGAAAGCTGAAGAACATTTTCATAATGAGTTAGAAATACAGATCATCAGGAATATCCAGGAAGCGTTAGTGAATGCCAGGCAGGCCTAAGAGACAGGAAACACTTAGCATGTTGGTAAACCATTTTAGCACATCAGCAAAAGCATATAAACAGCTTTAGGACTGGAAATTATTGCCATGGGGAAAGGCAAGAATTAGAGGAACAATTCCAATTAAAAATGTAAAGATTGGTTCTTTAGATTAATTCTTGAGTTGCTCCCCTATGCCTGTGTAGCAGAATCTAACAGATAATCATGTTAAACAGGAAATTATATTTTAAAAATAAACTCTGAAATTCATAAAAAGGAAAATGTTAAAGAATGTAAAATTACACTGGTAGAATTTTTTTTTTTTTTTAAATGGAGTTTCACTCTTGGTGCCCAAGCTGGTGTGCACTGGCATGATCTCTGCTCACTGCAACCTCCACCTCCTGGGTTCAAGCAGTTCTCCTGCCTCAGCCTCCCAAGTAGCTGGGATTACAGGCACGCGCCACCACGCCTGGCTAATTTTTTATATTTTTAGTAGAAATGGGGTTTCACCATGTTGACCAGGCTGGTCTCGAACTCCTGACCTCAGTTGATCTGCCCACCTCGGCCTCCCAAAGTGCTGGGATTACGGGCATGAGCCAATTGCGCCTGGCAGACATTTTTAAAAATAGAAATAATAGTCCATTCATGATGCATGAATTAAAGAAAATATTGGTAACGTGTATGGTAACAGATTAGTAACTGAGAACCCAAAGGCTGCCCCAGGTTGCTTCGAATCCTGGTTCTGCCATGTTCCAGCTGTGTGACCTTGAGCAAACTACTTACCCTTTGTTTCAGTTTTTTCACCAGGAAAATGGGTTTTAATAGGATTATTGTGTGGATTTAGTTAATAAGGAAAGTGTTTAGAACAGGCTTCCAAAATAGTAAGTGTTGTATGTGTTAGCTATTATTAATACATCCCAAATTTCCACTAAAGAAAATCTTCCCTAATTTGTATATGGGATTGTCAGAAAACAAATGGAAAAATCATAGTATAAACAGCCTATATGGCTGTAAAGGATTACACAAAACACATGATCTTTCTGAAGTAGTTTTTTTAGAAGAAAAAAAAATAGAACTAACTTCTCCTCCCTTGATTTTCACTTTTTAGAGTGGTGAAACCAGAACAATATCTCACTTTCATTATACTACCTGGCCAGATTTTGGAGTCCCTGAATCACCAGCTTCATTTCTCAATTTCTTGTTTAAAGTGAGAGAATCTGGCTCCTTGAACCCTGACCATGGGCCTGCGGTGATCCACTGTAGTGCAGGCATTGGGCGCTCTGGCACCTTCTCTCTGGTAGACACTTGTCTTGTTTTGGTAAGTGCTTCTTGCGATCTCATTTTAATCTCATTGATTTTTTTTTTTTAATTGCTTCCACTGGCAAGGAATATGCACTGATGTTGTATCATAGAACTGAGGTTTTTCAACTTTTAACTTCTACTTTTGGAAAAACCAAAAAATCTCATTTCCACGTTTGAAGCTGCGTCTTACTCATGACCGGTAGAAATGTATCCAAGATGATTTTGGAGGTTCCTAAGAAGATGTTTTTCTTCCTGGTAGCTTTATATTACAGAAATAATAGGTCTCTTCCCCTCATTTTTTCAAATATAAATTCATATGTAATAGTGACTTCCTCCTCAGACAAATACTTTATCTCATTTTTTTACATTTAAAAACTAGGGATCATGATAGACATATTTCACAGGGTTGCTGTGAGAATTCAATGAATTAATACATTAAGGGACACTTAGAAGAGTCCCTGGTGTTTTCTGAGCATTCCATAAATGTCAGTATTACTGTTACTCGCCTGAGGTTCCTGTCTGTGCCCCCAAGGGCTAATTCTTTCTGCACCAGTCAATCCCAGTCCCAGCCTGTATACAGCCTAAATCTTTTTTTCTCTTTTTAGGACCTTTATTTTTTCCTTACTGGCCTCTTTCTCACCATCTTTAGATGGGTGCCGTGTATCCAGACATCGTGTCTGTAGTGCAGACATGAAGGAGGCGGAAGGGCAGTGAGCAGAAAGGTTGACTCCTGCCATGACTTAAAAAAAAAAAAAAAAGTCCTTGTACTAGTCAGAACTGATTATAAATCCTTCCTTTAACCAATGACTGGCCAGAAGGAATGAGATTACTATGATTGGTTTGGAATCAATTGTGAATCAGCTGAAGAATCAAAGTCCTCCATCTACTTGAGTGGTTGAGATGTGGGGAGGGATGAGTAGGCTGGGATAGTTGCTGTGTATGTAACAGTTATAGCTGCAGGGTTAAATTATCGTTGTTCTTTCAGAGGAGAAAATGCAGAGCAAAAATCTTAGCAATGATCCTGCATTGATTCTGTTTCCTGAGTTCCAATAACAAAAGATTTGTCTGATATTTGCCTTTCTTGCAGATGGAAAAAGGAGATGATATTAACATTAAACAAGTGTTACTGAACATGAGAAAATACCGAATGGGTCTTATTCAGACCCCAGATCAACTGAGATTCTCATACATGGCTATAATAGAAGGAGCAAAATGTATAAAGGGAGATTCTAGTATACAGGTAAACTTTATACATGTTTAAAATCATATCTATTTGTTAAATACACATAGCATCAAATAACTGCACTCCACTTGAGCCCTTGTCTTTGTTTCAAAAAGTACGTTTGAATTTTTGTGGTAAATCCAGTTGGCTGTCTTAAAATTGTAAAATTTTAGCTAGCTTCCTCATATATACTCAGCCTCAGGTTAAATCCTGTTTGTTACTTAAAAGCCCTTGTAGAAACAAGATTTCATTAAAGAAACTGAATTTTTCATTTTGGGGGTGGTTAAGCTTTTAATTATTAAAGTAGCTGGAAACTTCAGATACTTTTGCCCTCATTACACACTAATACTTGGTTTATATAATATTTGACTTTATAACAAGTAACTTGAATATTTATGACAGATATAATGAAATTCCAGCAAAATGTTACATTCTTCTGGTTGATGGCTTTATTCTCATGAAGCTATTTTTACTGCATATTTGTAGAACCTCAATTCAAAGACTGATTAGAAGTTTGTGTTATGCACTAAGTTAAAATGTAAAATAGAAACAACCACAGACTCCATTTTTTGTATGGTTTAATCACATTGTATTGGACGTAAGTAGATACTGTAAATTGATGCATAATATAAGATAGACTGTCTTTTCATTATATTTCTCATATGTGAACATATTTATTAGCACTTTCATTTCTGTGATTACTAGCCAATACAGGAATATAACTTAGACCCTTGGTGTCAGAATAAAGGTTTATTTAAAAAGATTTTTTCCAAATCTTTAAATAGCATTAAAATATTCTTAATGAACATAAACCTTAGGGTGCTCAGAGCCAAAACACTCCATGTGTGGAAAACTCAGCCCACAGAACATGTCCTGCTTCAGACACTAGACTTTGGGAACACTGGGTTTCCTGGGATTACTTTGGCAGTGATCAGTGATTTAGGTGAAGTAAAAGTTATTTCAGATGTTTAAGATTAGGAAAATTTCCCTTTCTAATCACAGTGAGCTTTCACCAACTTAAATCTGGAGTTCAAAAAGAAAATCAAGTAGTTCAATCAGATTTCCCCATGCCTTCCCTGCCTGCTTCCTGGCTGTGGTGAGGTGGGTCACTGGGAGGGAAGTGTATTGTCCTTTGGATTGTGTCTTTCCTACCACTACTTTTTTTTAAGTTTTGTATCTTTAGTTTTAGAATACATGCTTTATCTGAGGATGGATCCTTTTTTATCACAGAGATCAGTTTTTCTGGACACTTTTTTGTGGAGTCTTTGACAGTGCAGTTTGTGGCTAGGAAGGATTTTTTTCTGTTAATTTATCTGGTATGGTAGAGTCCTCAGACTCTCAATTCTACAGCATTTTCTGCCCCTGCTCCAGATAGGACATTGGAAACATCTTTATCCTTCAGGTACTCAGGATCAGAAAAGCCTGCTACCCATTCCACGGGGTTAATTTCTGCAGAAATGGTCTTGGCATTCTGAGAATCTCTGTCTTTTAATTGGTGCATTTAGACCATTGGCATATGAAGTGATTACTGATAAAGTTGGATTAATACATACATACCATACCACATGTGCTACTGTTTTTTTTTCTTTTTTTAAGACACAGTTTCGCTCTTTTTGCCCAGACTGGAGTTCAATGGCGTAGTCTCAGCTCACTGCAGCCTCCGCCTCCCAGGTTCAAGTAATTCCCCCCACTCAGCCTCCTGAGTAGCTGGGATTACAGGTGCCTGTCACCACTCCTGGACTAATTTTGCATTTTTAATAGAGATGGGGTTTCACTGTGTTGGCCAGGCTGGTCTCCAACTCCTGACCTCAGGTGATCTGCCTGCCTTAGCTTCCCAAAGTGCTGAGATTACAGGCGTGAGCCAACGCACCCAGCCCAAAGTGATTGCATCTTAAGTCCGTAAATATATGTAATTATAATCTTAAAGTATGTACCCATTTACAGAAAACTTTCAATGACCTTGACATTCCTGTAGATATATAGGTTATTTGTAATTGCCTTTCAGTACAAGGTCAGGCATAAATACTTAAGCTGGTTGCTAGTATTACCACATATTGATTAGCAAATTCCCAGTATTGATGACAGTAAACCTCCCAGAGTAAATATCTAGTTTGGCAATTCAGAACTAATGTTGTAAGATCTACAAAAAATTAGCTGGGCATGGTGGCACATGCCTGTAATCCCAGTTACTTGGGAGGCTGAGGTAGAAGAATTGCTTGAGCCCGGGATGTAACAAGTGAAGGCTCAGGAAATGTAGTATTTTCTAGAGGCCGAGGTTGTAGTGAGCTGAGATTGTGCCACTATACTCTAGCCTGAGTGAAAGACGAGACTTGGTCTCATGGTGAAACCCTGTTTCTACTAAAAATACAAAATTAGCCAGGTGTGGTGGTGCCTGTAATCCCAGCTACTGATCTACTACAGGCACGCGCCACCACGCCCGGCTAATTTTTGGTAGAGAAGGGGTTTCACCATGTTGCCCAGACTGGTCTCAAACTCCCAATCTCAAGTGATCTGCCCACCTCGGCCTCCCAAAGTGCTGGGATTACAGGCATGAGCCAGTGTGCCGGGCATGCTTTTTTCTTTTTAATACCTCTGGTACATGATGACAATGAGACAAATTAGAAACTAGTTTATCCATTCTATGAATGGATTTCCCAGAGATTTTTTAAAGATCTAAATACACGCATTGCTTTTAATAGTACCATATTGTACAAGAGTAATTCCAGGGAACGAATGTTCCATAAGTTGCAAAAAACTTTAAGTTGCAATATTACATCTCTGTTTAAAATCATTAAACTCCTCGGGCAATAAGTAGAGTATTCCTTATTATTTTTTTGTTATTGTTGAGTCGGAGTCTTGCTCTGTCGCCCAGGCTGGAGTGCCGTGGTGCGATCTCGGCTCACTGCAAGCTCCTCCTCCTGGGTTCAGGCCATTCTCCTGCCTCAGCCTCCCGAGTAGCTGGGACTACAGGCGCCCATCACCACGCCTGGCTAATTTTTTTTTTTTTTGTATTTTTAGTAGAGACGGGGTTTCACCGTGTTAGCCAGGATGGTCTCGATCTCCTGACCTCGTGATCCGCCCACCTTGGGCTCCCAAAGTGCTGGGATTACAGGCGTGAGCCACCGCGCCCGGCCAAGTATTCCTTATTAATTAGATCCAAGACTCCTTGCTTCCTGGATAAGATCTTCAAAGAAGGCCATCCCTGTCCATACCGAGTCATTTGGGCCAGTGTAGTCATAGTTAATCAAAACCATGGGCTCCCACTGCTTCTACCTGTACCGCTTGCCACTGGCAGATGCGTAGATGGTGGTCATGTCCTCATCCTTTCAAGGACTGGAGAGACTGTAGTCGCAGTGTGTAGGTTATATGTGCCTTTTTCTTCTCTGGAGTGTAAGTTGTCACTGCTTTCATCTGCAGGGGCCCAGATGCACTCTTCTTCCTCTACCCTCGTCCCTAGGAATGGTGACAAGCGAGGAAACGTAGTATTTTCTAGACATGATGCTGGGCTCTTCACATGCCATCTCATTAATTACAGCTGTCTCCCAGGGTAGATGATGACATCCTCTTTCATAGAAGAAACGGAAATTTCTCTTCATTTTGGTCCGAATCCTGGTTTGGGTTACCACATGCTCCTGAAGTCCATGCTAGAGGCATGCTGGAGGGTGTTTCCCTAGCCCAGTGGGGGGCCAGCCAGCTGCCTGGAGCTGCTAGTGTGCCTGATATCACAACCCTGATAGTTAAAGTCCTTTAGCGTCATAAGGACCTACTTGGAAATCTCACTGTTGGTTCCGCCCTAGACTGAACAGTGGCAAGGAGCAAGAAGGTTCCAGATCACATTCAAGCACCACTGTGATCAGTACTCCAGTGTTACATACCTGTGGATTAGAAATGGATTAAGATTCAAGCAAAATCTACCTTGGCTGAAATCTTTTTTAAAAAATTTGTGGTTTTCGTGCAGTGCCACTGTATTTTTTTTGTTGTTTGTTTTTTTGTTTTGTTTGTTTTATTGAGACGGAGTCTTGCTCTCTCGCCCAGGCTGGAGTGCAGTGGTATGATCTCGGCTCACTGCATCCTCCACCTCCCGGGCTCAAGTGATTCTCCTACCTCAGCCTCCCAAGTAACTGGGACTACAGGTGCCGCCACCACACCCAGCTAATCTTTTGTATTTTTAGTAGACATGGGGTTTCACCATGTTAGCCAGGATGGTCTCAATCTCCTGACCTCTTGATCCACCTGCCTTGGCCTCCCAAAGTGTTGGGATTACAGGCGTGAGCCACCACGTGCCCCGGCCTTTGTTTTTGATTGACACTTAGTAATTGTACCTATTTATGGGGTTCAGTGAGACATTTTGATACATTTATACATTATGTAATGATCAAATTAGACTATTTAGGACATCTGTCACCTCATACATTTATCTTTGTGGTGAAAACATTCAAAATCCTCTCTTCTAGCTATTTTGAAATGTGTATTTCATTATATATTATTATATGCTAATATATTTCATAGTACTTGAAATATATATGTATATGTAAATATTTCAAAATAGCTAGAAGAGAGGATTTTATGTATATATAAAATGTGTATGTATATACATTTTTTTTGAGATAGGGTCTCATTCTCTTGTTCAGGCTGGTGTGCAGTGGCACGATCATGGCTCACTCATTGCAGCCTCAACCACCTGGGCTCATGGGATCCTCCTGCCCTAGTCTCTTAAGTAGTTGGGACTGCAGGCGCATGCCACCACATGTGGCTCATTTTTAAATATTTGTAGAGACTGGATCTCACCATGTTGCCCAGGTTGGTCTCAAACTCCTGGGCTCAAGTGATCTCCCGCCCCAGCCTCCCAAACTGCTGGAATTGCAGACATGAGCCACCACACCCTGTCTGAAATATTAAATATTATTAACCATAGTCATTCAACTGTGCAGTAAAACACCAGAACTCATTCCCCTATTGAACTGTTGTTCGATTTCTCCCCATGCCCACTCTTCCCTACTCTCCAAAGCCTCCAGTAG